ATGATCTCATAATATTTTTCCTATTTTGGTAACCATTTGAAATAATATAATTTTTAGATATATGGGGCTTGCTAAACGTCATACTAAGCACTAACACATAATAAAACAGTAAATTATTTTCACAAAAAAACGAAGAAAGTTAAGTTTTCATTTTCATCTGGTAGCTCAGTTTTTCTTCACATATTTTGCTAGGAAATTCTTCACTTTTTTGGGTCCGTATTTATATAATAAATTACGCCAAAAATTGTCTATTTATGAAGTCAAACAGATGGTCATGTAAAAATAGACTCGTGGAATTCTTCAGACTCTTTCATGCACAGATACTGAACAATTACTCCAAATTATCTCATAAATATTCACAGAAATACACGCAGACATGCTAACAGTCACAAGCTCTCATACTTACGCTACAAAAATACTTACTTACTTACTTATCTTCACGCACAATCCCTAACGGGGTAGTCAGAGAGAACAGATCGCCAAGTGTCATGATCCTTACATACCTCTTTCGCTTCTTTCAGGTTCATTAATTTCTTCATACATGCACGTCTAGGTATCCGAGTACTCTTGACCTTCCCTTCTTCGAGCAATTTGCTCACATGGTCTTCGAAAGTTAGTCTCGGTCTACCTCGACACCTTTTAATATTTACTTTCGCTCTATATATTTTCTTCACCATTCGGTCTTCACTCATTCGCTCAACGTGCCCAAACCATTGGAGTACGCCCCTATCAATTTTTGTGATAAGGTCATCTTTAAATCCTGCCATATTGCGAATCTCTTCGTTTCGCTTTCGATCGGCTATGGTTACGCTACACATTTTACGAAGAGATCGCATCTCCACTGCATTCAACTTGCTTTTATGCTTCTTCTGGCATACCCAGGTTTCGCTGCCATATAACAAAGTCGGTACCAACACTGCGTTATGTATTGCAAGGCGTGTACTCTTCACCACGCCCTGCCTTTTGACTAATGCGTTCAGGGCACCATTGACTTTGTTTCCGGCAGCGATACGCCTATCCACATCCAAATCACATCTTCCATCCCGGCTGAAACACTCCCCAACTATACAATTTCATTTACCTGTTCTAGACATTCCTGATTTACCCATATTTCACATTTCGTTATCTCTTCGTCCTTTTCAAATACCAGAACCTTAGTTTTATTAGCATTCAAACGGAGACCTTTCATTTCACATTCCTCTTTCATACACGTGATTAATGCCTGCAGTTCTGCTTCTGATGGTGCAATAAGCACTGCATAATCAGCATACAGCAGACAATTAACTTTTATGACACCCAATTTCACACCCAAACAGCTATTTTTCAGCTTCTGTAAACAGCTGTCGAGATACAGTATGAACAGCCAGGAAGACATGACACAACCCTGTTTTACGCCCGCTTGGACGCTAAACATGGGTAACAGGTCATGCCCTACCCGCACACAGGCTTTACAGTCATAGTAAAGTGACTGCACAGCCCTTAACAATCGACCATCCACACCATATCCCGGCAACAGTTCCCACATTTTCTTCCTTATAACCTTTTCAAATGCTTTCTCCAGATCCACAAAAGCAAACAAACAAAGAAAATCCTCTGGTTAACACTCAGAAGCTTTTCCGTGATCATGCAGAGAGAAAACATTTGATCCGTGCATCCTCTTCCAGGTGTAAATCCGCATTGTGCCTCCCATAAGAATCTTTCCGATTTCTCTTGCATCCTACGTGTCCAAACCTTCGAGTAAATTTTACTTGCTAAACTGGTCAAGCTGATCGCCCGATAGCACCCACAGTCAAAATGTGAACCTTTACCTTTATATAATGGCACAATGACCGCGGATCGCCAATCATCCGGGACATCTCCCGTTCGCCAGCACAAAGTGCACAGCAGACGAAAGCTGTCCCAGACGCGAGGCCCACCGTACTTGACCATTTCAGCAGTAACTCTGTCTAGTCCCGCAGCCTTCCCACATTTCAAACTTCGAATCGCACGTTCAATCTCTTTCATGCTGATGACCTCAGTGTCATCGAGGTCCGTGTCTGGCGTGCCAGTCATGGCGTCACCCCCGGATCCTTCACTAAGATCATGACACGCATACATTTCTCTATAAAATTGACTCCATCGCTGCATGACGTCCGATTTTTCTGAGAGGACGTCATTGGTTCTCGAAAGCACTTTGTTCATTCTTAAGGCTGTCGCACCACTCTGGGACCTTCCAACCTCTTTCCAGAAGAGTATGGAGTTTTCCTTAAAGTTTAAGGCGCGACAACATATCGTCCGCTTCTATTCTACACCTTTCACGTACTTCCTCAATCAATGTTTTCGCATGAACTTTCTGCAGCTTGTATCTTTCTTTCATCTTCTATCTCATATGCTTATCGTTACTAGAGGCCAAGTAGTCTAACCATGTTTTTTTTCTTCTTTTTTACAGTTTCTCTCACTTCATCATTCCACCATGCATCTCTTCTTTTACTACTACCTCTTTTTGTCGTTCCACATACTTCTTCCGCTGCACTTACCATTCCATCCCTAAGGTTCTGCCATGTTCTCTCTACACATTCTTTCCTGCCATCGATGGTGTCAAGCTTTTCGGCTACTCTCGTGTAATATTTGTCCCTAGTATCCGCTTCCTGAAGCTTCCAGCTTCGAATGCGATAGACCGACTGTGGTTCTGTTACTGCCGTCCGGTAGCGCCAACCCGCGAACAAACCCCTAAATCCAGTAATTACTAGATAGTGATCCGTTCCCAGGTCAGCACCCCTAAACACTCGTGTATCCATCACCTGTTTTCGCAGTTGGTCATCCACCAGGAACAAATCAATCATACTTCTCTCATTCTCTCTTTCTCTAGTGTACATATGGATTTTCCTGTGATTAAACATAGTTTTTGTCACAAAAAGACCCTTTTCCTTGCATACAGCCAGTATAAGCTTGCCAGCATCATTAACCCTTTTATCGCCAAACTTTGCAAGCACCGACTCGTATCCTGGTCGAGCGATACCTACCCATCCATTCAAATCACCACATACAACAGTTCTTTTGTTTCCCTTAACCAAATCTAGAACTTCTCTTACATTCTCCCAAAACTCCTCCAGCTCAGCCCTGGACGACGAAGCTACCAGCGCATAAACAGCCAAAAGGAATAACTTCGTCAGTCCCAGTTTAAAGCGAACCCAGAGAAGTCTAGAGTTCACAACCTTGTATTCAGTCATAAGATCGACCAACCGAGACGACAACAGCACCCCCACTCCCTGGCAGGCGTTCTCGCTTTCCGGGACACCGGACCATATAGCTAACGTCCCGCCAGGGAGCTCTTCAGTACCACTGCCTTTCCGTTTGGTCTCCGACATATACACGACATCTAATTCTCTTTCTTTCATTATTTCGATCAACTCATTCGTCTTATCTCTCATGCCCCCTCTAACATTCCACGTGCCAACTCTGCACTCCGTCCTCCACCTTCCGCCGTGTCGGGCTGTGCGTGACGGGTGGCAGTCCCCATCGCCGCTTTGCGCGCTACATTCCACACCAACGGGGACGAGCTGGTGTGCGTCGCCTTGGGCGGACGCCCTAACTCCCGATTGCATGGGTGCGCAGCTGTGTAGAATTGCAGCCCTGAAAAAGGCTGGCAGGGGTCGCGACACATGACAAAAATACGTGGTTTTTATATTTGTTTTATTTTTTTTATATATCCAAACTGATAAATCGCTCTATATAATATTATTTCTAACCATAACATGAGTGATCTCTTTATAATATTATACTTATTGCCAAGTAAATTCTGGGGTAGGGGGGCTGGTGACCTGTAATACGGGCCTAAGTTCAGTCAGTTCAGTCAGTTCGGGTGTTAAGTTCATTCTGAGTCCACCTGAGTATGCCAAAGGTATACATGAGGATAGGCATGACCCAACCTTTATATGCGTGTGTCTTATTCACACCAGACAAAAGGCTGTTGAGCACTTTGGTCAAGCGTGCATAAAACACGTCGCTAACTGACTGTTTCAAACCAGCTTCATCAATACCGATGTTCTGTGACACACCCAGGTATCGGTATGTTTCAGCCTCGGAAAGGGTTCTTAAACTGATGGGCATAGATAAGTCTATGCCCTCAGAGTTAGCAATCCTTCCCCTTTCAACATGGAGGACCGCACACTTATCCGTCTCCAGCTCCATTCCAATAGAACTGCTAAATTCACAAGTGATGTTTAGCAATTCCACAAGATGGCGAATAACTTGAGATCATCCATATAAAAAGTGTGTCACTTTTTTACCTCCTTTCCGAAGCTGAAAACCCCTCCCGGAGCCCTCCAGTAAAGTACAGAGAGGGTTCAAAGAGAGGCAGAACCAGATTGGACTCAGAGCCCTGGAAGATACCCCTTCTTATCCTTATGTGGCTTTCCGCAGCCATCATCCGCTCGTCCAGATGACAAGGGATCGTACTTCATTGCCCTATACACTGCTCGAAGAAGTTTCTAACTGTACAGTCAATCTTGTACAGATCGAGGATCCTCCTTAGCCATGTATGGGGCACCGAGTCGAATGCCTTTCTGTAGTCTATACACGTAGCGGAGAAGTTGCGGAAGGTTGCGTTTCACCACTTTGCCAATGAACACGTCAATGAGAAGTGGTTCCTTGGTTCCACGACCACCCCATCACGTGTCTACCGACCATATACAAGACACTAACATCCATTTTGAGCGCGCGACATCACCTGATTTGAGTCCAGGTGACGAGTGATTCTCGCGCTCAAAATGGATGTTAGTGTCTTGTATATGGTCGGTAGACACGTGATGCGGCGGTATTTGCTCGAGTCTGTGGTATCCTGGTCTTTAGGAACCAAATGAGTGATCCCAGTAGTGAAGAGGCTCGGGAGCGACTTCTGGTTGAGAACCTCTTGGAACTGTCGGGCGAGCACAGTGTGACACACCACAAACCCCTTCAGCCAGTAATGATGCAGCCCGTCGAGCCCCGGACTTATCCAGTTCGGGGCCCTACGGACCGCCTCAGTCACGTCTTCCATCGTTATGGTCCATAGGCGTAACACTTGCACCCTGGCTCGCCACAACTTCCATCCAAGGGCCCTCGCTGTGGTTTACGGTCTCTGACCACAGGCCACGCCAGAATGTGATAATGTTAGCATGATCCGGTTCTTGGCCCGCTCCACATACCTTTGTTTGCTCCAATGATTCATAGAGCCTCTTCTGATCACTCTGAAAGAGACGATTCTGGTTGAACTGAGTCGACCTCTCGGTATATCGCCGAAACCGCTTTCCCCAAGCAGCGATTCTCTGCTTCAGATCATCTATGCGCTCCGTCAGTTTTTGAATTATGTCCGGCTGGGATAAACTGACATTTGTCCCAAATGCCATCCTGACGGTGCGCACAATTCTTGACCTGTTATTGCCTGAGGGCTCTAGCCTTTGCGATACGCTCCTCAATTCTTTTTCTCCATGCTGGGATAGTGCTACTTTGGCCAGTAGCGCATCCAGCCTATAATACGGCAGACTGCCAGCGCGGCGACAAAAAGAATTGAGTCCGTATCGCAAAGGTCCCGGCTGGCTTCCAAATAGGTCACCAGCATTGGGTTCAGAGCCCTCACGACAGCCCGATTCCTCTTGCTTAGGGCTATGCAGGGAAGTCGCGGTCAATTTTCGAGAGGCGTACTGCGCGTTTCCATAATCGCCTCTTCCAATGTACTCCTCATTTGCTCTATTTATAGTTCCTGGGCGAATGTTCCATCATCATTTGAATCAGCTACCTTTGGAGTATTCACGGCGGCATCTACGTGTGCGGGTTGTTCTGCAACTTGTGGCAACACATCCTCAGCCGTAGCATTTTCATTTGATGAGGGAACAGCCTCACGTCGCAGCCGTTCTAGTGCGACGTCATCAAATATATTTGAGTGCATGATATGTCAAAATTTAGACTTAACTTAACTTGGAAAAATAAAAAACACTTAAGTAACATCTTAGTATAAAGTTTACAAGACACATTATTTTTGAGATATATGGTAGTTGACCTATGATACTTTTATGTCGTAGTAAAAAGTGTAGTTTTCGCCGCACCCTTGTCAATATCGACATCTGGGTACGGTCACAAACAGTGTCTTGCAGGTAAGTAACATAATACTGTATAAATGTCACATTAATACTCAGGGTATTTCCTAGAGTAACTGAACATCTACATATTCATGTCCAATTTATAATAGTATTAGTAACAACAACTGCCAGAATTGGTAGTTCACGTATATGATAGTATATGTAGTTATATACACGATACTAAGGAACCCATTAAAACTGCAAAAAGTTACAGCCTATATACGTCCCACTGCTGGGCACAGGCCTCCCCTCATTTCTGAACTTAACAAAACAACATAACATGTCTTCGAAATTTTTTTTTCTTATTCCTCAGACATGCAGGTTTCCTCACGATGTTTTCCCTCACCGCCGAGCATGTGGTAAATCTGCACTTAAAATTGCAATTAACAATTTCGTTGGTGCCGGCGGGGATCGAACTCGGGTAACTCGCGTTCTGTTATATTTACAGCGAGCGCTAACTATCTGAGCCACGGCTCTACAAAACTGCAAAAACCTTTATGAAATTACTGAGAGAGAGGTACTTTCCCACCTAAGACTTCTAGTCAAAAAAGAAGCCCTATCATTACCACAAGTCGTCTGTATATGTCGTTCTCTGTTCTGCTACACTATTTTGGTGCTCATTATTTGCGGAAATTTTACCGAATCGCATAAAATTAAACGTTAATTTGTAAATTTCAACTTTAAATCACAAAAAGAATACAATAATTTCCCCATAAAAGGAATAAAATAATTTTACACGCATACAAAAATCAAAACCCGGATTTTCGAAGAGATTAAGTGAATATTATTTTATGGATTTTAGTTCCTTGATTTTGACAGTTACAATATTAAAATTTAAATTTTTTGGACCTTTTTTGTAGATTGAGGAAATTCACAAGATCAAAGACAAGAATGTACATATTTATAGATATTAAAAAATTTACCCCTATATTTACAAACTTAGGATTGGAATTTACATTAAAACATAACCCATTTAATAAAAAAGAGTCACTAAAATCGGTTTACAGCTCTTGAATATATCGCACAACATACATAAAAAAAGAACCTTCTCATTTTTAAAGAGCTAAAATGCCTTTGAAAGACATGGTACATATGTATTAGACATGGACAGGTCACTTCACAGTATGATTTTCATCTGTATGATGAAAATGCGTGTTACTCAGGTAATATTATAATGCACAGACAAATCTCCACATTCGGAACCATTATTATTAGGCCATACAAAGCCTTAGCCATTGCGCTCCTGAGTCGTTTTGAGCGCAGCATTTTTATAGAATAGGGGTGACAAACAGTCAACTTGATGGTAAGTGCATACTGTGGCCCACAAACAACTTTATTAAGAATGAAAATGCAGATGTGTTGTCACCCGTGATGTCTAAGATGGAATGCATTTTTACCCGAAAAAGGTATGTCAGGTTCTCTATACTCACCATACGAAACTCAACAGCCCTGAGCTGCTATTTTACGCGGTTATTCTGTGAAAGCATGGTCGTTCCCCGGCCAAGCCGACCAATTCGTGCTGTAACTATAATATAACTGCAGCATAACTCCACCACGTAAAATATATAAATAACATATGTAAATATCTACTAAAATCTAAAAAATATTTATTCTTTATTACTAATAATGATATTTTCATCAAAGTATACATCTTGAGCATTCTTCCATACGTCTTAGCCACTTGGAAAACACCTCCGACCACTTTTCTCTCTCGAAATTGTAAGCAGCCAGTGCGTCTTGTTTATTTTTAAAACCCTTACCATTTTAATATTCTTTATTTTTGATTTTTGAAAACACGTAATAATCACAACATGTTAGGTAAGGTTGAAAACGTGGAGTGGTCTCAACAAATATGCTTGGCACTGTATATATCACATGTGAGAGGTTGGCTGTAGACATCCGGTACTTGATTTTGATATTGTTTTTAGTCTAAGAGGCTTGTTAGGGTTAAGTTTGAACCTATTACATTGTTTTAAATGTCGGAAATGCGTTTTGAATTAATTACGATAAAGACAAATATCACTAAAAATTGTGTACGTGTACGCAAATATGTCAATTTGTTTTATTAACATAGATACACTCTAAAAAAAGTTAATCACTCGGACCCAGACAATCCATTTATGGCTGGGGACGCGACTTATATACATACAAATAGAGTCGCAGTAGAGAACAGTCAAGAGGTTTTTCAGAAAACGAAATCATAACAATTCACATTACATTATTGCATTTACCTACTATCATAGCAGAGTTTAGCGCAACCACCTACTTACTATCATAGAAGAGTATAGGGCAACCAGACTTTATAGATAAGATTGGTCGAATCGGTTCTAAAACCGAATTAGCACACCCCGACTCCACGTAGTCTTGTCTGCCTTATCCCTAGAGTATTTTTGTAAAGCCGTAGGTACGGAGGGAGAGCAGCCCCCGCCCGCTGTAGCAAATCGCAGGTACCTAACTGAGCCGTAGCAGCTGAGGCTGGTCGCCGAAGGCGACCAATAAGCCGAAGCTGCAGAGGCGAGCATGGGTGCCTGTGATTTGCTACGCAAGGGTGAAGAGGTCGCACTTCTCGCAGTGCCGAAGCCGTTGCAGGAGTAACTTTGCGTCAATATTCCTGTATAAAAAGTGAGCTTATGATTTTACAAAAAACATATCTACATCTATCCTCGATTACGAATCAAAATGTAGATGCATTGTCACCCGTGACGACTAAGATGTAATGCCTCATTTCCAGTAAAAAAGGTCTCCGGTTCTCATAAACAACACAGCAGCATTAAGCTATTATTTTACGCTGGTATTCTGTAAGAGCGTGGTCCTTCCCCAGTCGAGCCGACCCATTCGTGCTACAACTATACTCCTAATATAACTGCAGCATGGCTCTACCACGTATAAAATGTCTATAAAAACTAAGTAAAATAAAATATAAAATTTTATCCAAAGTATTAGAACCGATACGTTAACACATATATATATATATATATATATATATATATATATATATATATATATATATATATATATATATATATCTCAAATACAATCTAAACATCCCCATAGATTGCCTTATAGGGGGCTTTGTCATGTGGGCAAGAATACAAAAAAATAATCACGTTGCGAAATTCGAATTCGCGCACTCCGGCGTGGTAGTCCTGCGCTCCAGCCATTACGCTGTTGTGAAGAAAATCAATCTTGACGCATTGTGTGTTAAAATACGAAGGAAACGAATTTTACCAAAATGAGACCTAGCCATATCAATTTTTTGCCTCCGAAAGAAAGTATATTGTAAATTTCATTTAAATTGCCGTATATGTATATAATTTTTAATGAAATATTTCTATACAATAATTACTATAAAATTTTCTTAATTTTAGACGTGTAGATATACAGACCTGCTTGATTATAATTGTGCACCTAATTTAAACAACACCCTTCCACTGCATTAAACTGCCTACAAGGGTTTAGTTGCTTGAAGCGTGAAATGATGCGAGTGAGTAATCCCTCATTGTAGTCGCACAAAGTGATAAGCTGTGTAATTCTAAACTAAGCTTTTGACTAGTCTTTGTTAACAACGCTTTTTAAAACTCCTCGTGTATTCTTTCAAAGAATAATCGTATAAAGCTCACTTCGTATCATACAATGTCTTCTTAGGTTTATGAAACATTTAGTTAAAGGAATAATATAAAAAATGATAAGATCAAATATTTATTTTAAAATAGTAAATAAAAGTATCGCAAAGTAGGTCAATTTGGAATGAAAGAAAAAACACATTTAACCGAAAGTATTATTTGATATTCAACCAGTTTTATTATATTTATTCTGGTAACAATTTAAATTTAACATTTTTCAGTAAATAGATGATCACTCTAAATACAGTTAAATTATCACTTATATACAATATTTAACCGAAGTATGAAGGTCGTTAATATTGTAAATAACAAGAAAAAGGAAGCTGTTCTTTATTTCAATTTTTAGTTTTGTCTATTTTTCTGTGTTGTTGCTATTTGGAGCAGCAATTGGGATGCATTTCAAAATATAGTTAATAAAGCTAGCTAAAAATTGTGGCAGGGGACGTACTAAGCCTTTCGTAGAGCGGTAGTTAATAAAGCTAGCTAAAAATTAAAAAGTAATAATGTCAATAAATCCAATATGTGGGTCACGCATATTATACCATATAAATACCACAGAAAAAACTTTCAAAACGTTAAAAAAAATTGTGGCAGAGGACGTACCAAGCCTGTCGTAGAGCGGTAATAATGATGTCTTTACCAGCAACGGATGTCGACAAATAATATTATTCATATATTGAATTCGTAGTACTCGTAGATCCGCTAATTTACAAGATCTATCACAGAATGCGAGAACAAGGTATTTGAATATAATGTCATTTCAGCACTGACCTCTTTAAATACAAGTACGCTGGACTGGCTATACCATACAAAATGTCTGTGCCAATTTGAAGCGCAACTATTGGTCGTCTTGAGAACTAATATTGACATAATATGCCAAAGTATGTTTGTTGTTTTACTTAAATTCTCCTATTTAAAATCTGTATTTTGAACTTTTAAACTAAAACACGAATTTTTTGAACAAACAAAGTCTGGCGACTTTGTTAATAGATAATTATCGAATGTTTATTAATTACCAGGTTTCCAACTAAAGCTAGACTAAAATTAAGGCTTAAAAGCATAAATATTGTGAATTGGCGTCCGAAACAAAATGATCGTCTTTGTTCTAAACATTACATAGACGACTGTTTTATTAGACATGAGAACCGCACCATTTGCAAATGCAGTTTACCGACAATATTTTCTGG